TCAATTTCTTATGGAAGACATCCTTTAGTAGCTGTGTAAGAAAGGATGCAAGGGAGACAGTTTTTTAAAATACTGTTTCTCTAAGTATATTTCATCATCTGCTTGATAGTTTGGTTTAGTAGTATAGAATTACAGGTTAAATAATTGTCTGCAGTTGCTGAGAAGTCTGATATTATTCTGATGACTTGGCCTTGATAAGTTACCTTTTGTTCTTCCTTTTTGAAGGTTGATAAGGTCTTTGTCTCCAGTATTTTACAAGATTGCCGTAGTAAGTCATGGTATGGGATTATTTCGAATCCATTGTACCTGCATGTTCTTCAGAGAATTAGTCTTCTGTCCAGGAATATAGTTTTACCCATCATATGTGTGTGTGTTGGGGATTGGGGTGAGTATACATCTGAGCAGCCTACCTTTGCTCTATTAGCCTGTTAGTTGTTTTCAGTTGTTTCCCTCACCTCCACCTTCTGAGTACCTTTAATCATTAGGCTTCTCAGGTATTCTTCAGGGCAAAGCTGTTTGCTTCTCTTTGATATATCCCTCTACAAGCCTTTTCTTTCTCTTTACTAAGTCTATCACCCCTTCACATTTGCTTCATTGTTGAAATCTCCTGTCTGCTGATTTCTCCTCTGGCTCTCTGTGTCCTTGTGGCATATTCCTCTAGTCAGTGAGATTTTTGACATGGAGAGGAGATAAATCTAATGTTAATCCTAACTGTTTTCGTAAGTAGAGATAGAGTTATAATGTAAAACTGCTTCAAGATAGCCTTAGTGCTTGTGTATGCACACACCTACACCGCCCCTAGCTCTGTAGAGTTTAGATCCTCAGTGTCTATTTTACTTGTTGAAGTGGTTTTTAGGAATCAGAATATATACCTTGTCTGTAGTCTGGCCATAAAATATTTGTACTAGTCCTATTATAAATTTTTATAAAGTTACTGTTATCTGTCATAGACACTAATAGCTTTGGTAGCTAATATTTATTGCACACTTTTCTGTATGCCACTTTACAAGATATTTTACATAAGTTGTATCATACATCATCTTTACAGTAAGCCTATGAAGTATAGGTATTACTTTCCCTGTAGTTCTTTTTGTTTCCTTTGTATAGTGTTTATACAAATCACAGCTATATGTGCTAACTGTTTTTTTGTTTTTTTTTCTTTTTATATTTAATTACAGAAGTAATTCATATTCATTTGCAGGCCAAAAATACATTTTTTAGGTTTTACAGAATATAAAGCCAAAACAAATGTACGTACTTATTACAAATTTTGAAGCTGTTTGTATTTTATATTCAGTAAATTTACGAAGTAAATATATTAAACAGCTTAAAAAGCTAAACACATTCAGATTAAAAGCTAAGTGTGATTTCCTGTAAATAAATCACCGCTTGTTGTGTGAACATGATGTAGATTACCGTGCAGGTTCTTTGAGTGCTGCATTGCATGTACTAGAGCACGTACTCTGATGACTCGCTTCTGCCACTTAGCCCTCAGCAATTAACATGGCTGTGCCTGTGACTTCTGTTTAGTTTTTTTTTTTTTTTTTTTTTGGTGTGTGTGTGTGTGTGTGTGTGTGTGTGTGTGTGGTCTAATATATAATTAGGTTTTGAGCCTATTTCATGGCTGTTTGAGAATAATTGTTCCTTATTGTTTATTGAGTATATTCGTCTCTCTTAGATCTAGTTAATTTTGTTTCAAATCTGCTATAACCCTATTTTTATCTAATTGATGTGTTGATTTCTGACAGTATAGTTACGGTTTCAGTTTTTTTTCTTTTTCGGGGGGCTAAGTATTTAATTTCCTATTTGAAGCTGTAACTGGAACTTTTTTGAAATACAAAGTTTATTTTTCAGCTCCAGGTGTTAGTTCACATACTAACAATTCCTACTAGTTTTCACATTTTTTAGTCAGGTTTATTGAGCTATAATTTACATACAGTAAAATTCACCTTTTGTTAAGTGTACAGTTCAGTGAATTTTAGCAAATTTATAAAGTCATAGCCACTATAATCAAGTTATAGAATATTTCTGTCATCCCAAGAATTTCCCCATCACCCTTGCAGTCAGTTTCCTGTCCTCACCCCCACTCCTCAGCAACCATTTATCTCATTTCTGTCCCTCTAATTTTGCATTTTCCATAATGTAGTAAAAATGAAAGCATACAATAGCATTTTGTGGTTCACTTTCAGTTAGCATAATGCTTTTGAATATAATCCATATTGTTGCTTTTTATTGCAGAGTAGTATTCCATCATATGCATGTACCATAATTTGTTTATCCTTCACCAATTGATGGACATTTGAGTTGCTTCCAGTATTGGACAGTTACGAGTATAGCTGCTGTAAGGGGCTGGGGTTTGGGGACCATGCTTTCAGGGGACATCTAGGTCAATTGGCATAACAAAGTTTATTAAGAAAATGTTCTGCATCCCACTTTGGTAAGTGGCATCTCCAGTCTTAAAAGCTAGCGAGCGGCCATCTAAGATGCATCCGTTGATCCCAACCCACCTGGAGCAAAGGAGAATGAAGAACACCAAAGACACGAGGAAAATATTAGCCCAAGAGACAGAAAGGGCCATATAAACCAGAGACTCCCATCAGCCTGAGACCAGAAGAACTAGATGGTGCCCAGCTACCACCAGTGACCGCCCTGATGGGGAACACAACAGAGAGTCCCTGATGGAGCAGGAGAAAAATGGAGTGGAGAACTCAAGTTCTAGTAAAAAGACCAGACTTAATTGTTTGACTGAGACTGGAGGGACCCCAGAAGACATGGCCCCCGGTCTATTAGCCCAAAACTAAAAGCATTCCTGAGGCCAACTCTTCAGACAAAGATCAGGCCAACTCTTCAGACAAAGATTAGGTGGGACTATGGGACATAAAATGATACTCGTGAAGAGTGTGCCTTCTTAGCTCAAGTAGATACTGAGACTAAATGGGCAGGTCCTGTCTGGAGGCAAGATGAGAAGGCAGAGAGGGTCAGGAGCTGGGTGAATGGATGTTGTGAAATCCAGGGTGGAAAGGAGGAGTGTGCTGTATAGGGAGAGCAACTAGGGTCACGTAACAATGTGTGTATAAATTTTTGTATGAGAAACTAACTTGAATTGTAAACTTTCACTTAAAGTACAATAAAAAAGAAAAACGTATAGCTGCTATAAACATTCACAGACAGATCTTTGTGTGGACCTATCTGTTTATTTCTCTCAGATCAATACCTCAGAATATTGAGCGTAAGAGTGGGACTGTAGGATTGTATGGCAATTGTATGTTTAACTTTATAAGAAACCACCAACCTGTTTTCTAAAATGGCTGTGTCATTTTGCATTTCCACGAGCAATGTGTATGAGATTTGCGGTTGCTCTTCATCCTCACCAGCACTTGCTATTGTCAGTCTTTTCAATTTTAATCATTTGTAGATGTGCAGTGGTACCTCATAGTGCTTTAATTTGTGTTTGCCTTTTGACAAATGATTCTGGAAATCTGTCTACCATCCATATACCTTTGGTGAAGTATCTGTTCAAGTCTTTTTTTATTGAGTGTTTTTCTATCGTATATGTGTTTTGCAAATATTTTCTTTCAGCTTGTGGCTTGTCTGTTCGTTTTCTTAACAGTTTACTTTAAAACATAAGTTGTAAACCTTGATGAAGTCTAGTTTATCAGTTATTTTTCTTTTATGGTTCATACTTTTTGTTTAAAAAATTTATACCTAACCTAAGGTCACAAAGATTTTTCTTCATATGTTTTCTTTTAGAAGTTTTATAGTTTTACATTTAGGAATATGATCCGTTTTGAGTTAATTTTTAACTATGATAGGTGTAAGGGTTAAGTTTTATTTTACATATTAGTGTCCTCTATCATGTTTTTTAATATATAATTTTTATCCTTATATTAGTTGCATGAAGTTTTTTCTATACTTTCTAGATGGCGTGTACTTGTTTCATCAGTATGAAATATTCTTTATCTTATTTCATGATTTCTTGACTTAAATGTTATTTGATGTGACGTTTATGTTGCCATTCCTGCTTTTATACAGTCATATAAAATAATTTTTTTTTAATTCTGGAGGTAGACTTGCTTAGTGTATTTATTCTTGTGTTTGCTACTTTTCTTTTTCTCTCTTTATTGCCCATTTTGAAGGTCCAAGTTAGCTCTGACTCAGTCTGCTTTTCTCTTTAACTGCAGTCTCCTTAGGTTATTTTCCTCTTTGGTTAGAAAGCAGAACTCAGAGATTTACTGGATAGCTATTAATGCTTTAAAAGAAAATTATGTCTGTCTCTTGCATTTAAAAAGAATAATTACTCAGCCTGAGTATCTCTTACATAACTTTTACCAGTTTAATTTCAATTGTTAGGAACTTTTATTTTATTGTTGTTTTGGTGTTTCTAAATGCACCTAAATCAGTCTTTGTTTTAAATTGGATTCTTCTAGCGAAGCTTAGCTATCTTGCGCAGATTTCCACATTATGGGTCTAAAAGATACTGATCGTGAGACTCAGGTGCTATAAATTTTGTTGGTGAAACACTTCGGAGTATTTGAGTATTTAAAACAGGAGAAATATGTATCATTATCCATGAGTGATTTATTTAACTACTCAGAAGACCCTTTCTTGAGTTTTAAAAGGTAAAATAAGAGTTTGAAAAATAAGATACCTACAGTAATGGCCTAGGTCTCAGCAGAGGCACAAGTAATAACCTTAGAACGGTATTTAAAATCTGATGTGACTAACCAGGAAATTTTAATAACAGCGCTTACCGTTTGGAGGCTTCTTATTTTAGCTAATTATTCTTCATTGGTAGGTATTAAGCTCAGTTCTTTTTAGCTACTAAGGTGTTCGTATGTAGTGAAATAAATGAAACTTAAAAATTATTTGCAGTCTTTTAAAATTTAAAACTTTCAGTACCTTGGCCAAGCCCCAGTTGCCCATTCTATTTACAGCTCTAGGCGTGTGTATTGTTTTATGAATTGAGTAAATAAGTTTTGTTCTTTTCCCTTTTTTTGTAGATGTGGTGGGACAGTGGGAGCTATTCTGACATGTCCACTGGAAGTTGTAAAAACGCGGCTGCAGTCATCTTCTGTGACACTTTATATCTCTGAAGTTCAGCTAAACACCATGGCTGGAGCCAGTGTCAACCGAGTACTCTCTCCTGGACCTCTCCATTGCCTAAAGTGAGAGCACAGTGGTCATGACTTTTCTTTAGTCCATTTACCTCAGTGATTCCTACACATTTGTTTACATTCTGCCACATCTGAAAAGGTTCTTTTAAAAACTCAATGACAGAAGTTACTCCAAATTATATTCATTATAATCCCTAATGGAGAGGAACAATTAGATGGATAATATATAAAGTAGAATATTATTCCCAAATCACATATATTTGGAATACCTTTCTGTGTTTATCTTACAGCTTTTTTTCCTAAAGCTTTTATAGGTATTTCATGTTGGATTGCTAATTCATTTGTTTTTGAAATTTGGTGGTATTAATGTTAACTTTGTGTGTGTGTGTTTTTAATTCTGTAAGTACTCACACAAGTAAGTATATCCAGTTAATGGCAGTCTGTGATTTTTATATAACCTAAAAAACATAATTGCAATTTAAAGCAGAGTTCTTCTCATTTTAAAATGTTACTCAGTGTTGGTTTGCCATTTCTCTGTGGTTTTGGAAAGATCTGTTTTTATTAAATTTTATCATATTTCATTATGTTACAAATAGGATATGAAATTTTAAAACTATTAAAATCAGGTGTTACATGTTTAAATTTAACTCTGTGACTGAATGCCTTGTGTGTCTACCTTATCAGCTCACTTGGTACTTAATCTATTTGAACTTAGTTCAGTAGTGTTTATTTTGTAGTAGCAAATAAACTTGGCTATTTGTTCACCTTCACTATCAAAAGATTTCATCACTTTTTTTTTTTTTTAACTTAGTCACTAAGTACATGGATAAGTAAAATAAAATTGTTAACAATTTTGGATTAAAATACCATAGTTACTGTAGATAAATACTTCTATTTGATTACTGTATTTTACGCAAATAACGCTGCCTTACACATTTTTTTGCCAACTGTGCAAACCCCCCCCCCCACTACTTCCCTAAGTGAGCTATGCTGCACATTATAGTGTGTGTTATTTGCGAAAAGTAAGGTAGTAGTAGGAAGAGGATTTTAATGTCATGATTTTAACGTTTATTACCACACATTACCTCTCTTTTAAATTCTTCCTTTGACCTCTGTGATATACTATACTTTTTATTCTTTTTTTTTAATGGTTTTACCTTTTCTGCCTTTCCTCAGAGCAACTTTAGGAATCCTTCTGGGCTCTATTTTAATTTCTCAGTTTTTCAGACCCTCTTATCTAACAGTGAAGGAGCCCTGGTGGCACAGTGGTTAAGCACTCAGCTGCTAACTGAAGGGTCAGCGGTTCGAACCTACTAGCTGGTCTGCAGAGGAAAGATGTGACAGTCTGCTTCCATAAAGATTTACAGCCTTGGAAACCCTATGAAGCAGTTCTACTCTGTCTGTTAGGGTTGCTATGAGCTGGAATCAACTCAGTGGCAGTGGGTTTGATTTTGGTTATTAAGGGGTTTTTAAGCTAAAACTTAAGGTGTTTCATCTGTCATCAGTATACAGGTGACTTGCAGATCTGCATTTTCTTGCTTTGACATCTCGCTAGTCTCATTCCCCTTGTTTTCTTATTCAGGGGCTCTGCCTAATCAGTCTGTTTTATGGCTTCTTCTTCCTTTTTTTTTTTTTTTCCTTCCCTAACATCTTTATTGAAATTAATTCATAACCATAAACTTCATCCATTTAAAGTATACAGTTCACTCATTTTTAGTATATTCACAGAGTTGTGTAACCATCACCACAGTCTAAGTTCAGAACATTCTCATCATCACCACAAAAAGAAACCCATACCCATTAGCAGTCACTCCCATTCTCTCCCTTCCCCTTCTCAGCCATAGGCAACTACTAATCTACTTTCTGTCTCTATAGATTTGCATTTTCCAGACATTTCATGTAATCGGAATCATACAATGTGTGATCTTTTGTGACTGGCTTTTTTCGTTTAACACAGTATTCTCAAGGTTCATCCATGTTTTAGCACATATCTTTGTTGCCAGATATTCCACTATATAGATACAGACAGTAAAACCTGCAAAAGCCAGAAGCCATGTAGGGCAGAAACCTGTCAGAAAAGGAGAATGCACATATTGTCCATTGATCAAGAGCAATAGAAAAGTGGTAAGACTGCACCCTGTCAAAGGCAGAAAACTTGTGAGACCCAGAAAAACAAGGCAGTCCTGTTGAGTTCCGGCTCGCACAGGTTTTAGGGTATCACATTTTGTTTATTCACTCATCAGTTTATGGACATTTGGGCTGTTCCTACATTTTGCTATTGTGAAGAATGCTGTTGATGGACATACGTTTTCTACGTAAGAGTGGAATTGCTAGGTCAAGTGGTAACTTTGTTTAACATTTTGAGAAATTGCCAAATTGTTCTTAAAAGTGGCTGCATCATTTTACATACCACTAGCAATGAATGAGAGTTCAAATTTCAGCACATCCTTGCCAACACTTGTTATTATCTCTGTCTTTTTGATTATAGGTAGTCTAGTGGTCACGAAGTGTTTTCATGACTTCTTAACCAGGGACCCCAGGTGGTTCGTGGATGAGCTTCAAGAGGTCTATAAATAGAATTGTATGCATAATTGCTTTATATTTAAAAAAGAACACTTACCTTCCTTAATTTCTCAAGGGGATCCATAATACAGAAAAGGCTAAGAAACACTGAATCTTCAAAATGTGCTTCACAATTTGTCATTCTTAACTCTGCTTCTTTCTAATCCAGTTTCATCAGAAGTGGTCCCTATCACCTGTGCCAGTCATCTGGAAGGGTCATAAAAATGCAAATTTACTGGGCATTGTCCTATATCTATTGAATCAGATTATTTCGAGGGTAGGATTAGGTAAATCTGCATTTTAAACAAATGCTCCAGTAGTAATTATAATAATAATAACATTAAAGTCAGATTCTTACTGTGTTCCAGGTACTCTTTTAAGTTGTTTATGCACTAATTTATTTAATCCTCACAGTGACTTAATGAGGACACAGTGTTTTTCCTTTTTACTGCTGTTGAAACTAAGGATGAGAGAAAAGTTTCAATAACTTGTTTCAGGATCTCACAGCTTGTCAGTAAACAAAGTTGGGCTTCATACCCAGGCTGTCTGGCCCCAGAGCTCAGGCCCTTTTAATTAACCAATATGCTTAACTGCCTTTCAAGAGATCATTCTTAAGCATTAGATGTTAGAGAACCACTGGCATGGTCTGTTAACTCTGAATGAAAGTGCCTACTCGTCATCAGTCTATATTCCTTCTCACCTCCAAAACTTAGTAACTCTTATTCCAGAAAGCCTTCCATGACTGAGACACACCTCTGTTCCCTTGTATGTGTGTCTAACTTGTACAGTATGATCTATTAAATTATTTTCTTTCAATATAATTCTTTTTCCACAACTGGACAGCAAGTTTCTCGATGGCAGGGGCTCACCCTCTTTTTTCTATCCCCTTAGTCTGCCTAATGATAAAGAGCTCTATACAATACAGTAAGTACTCAATAAAATAAATGTTAACTGAGTGGAGGGAGAAATAGTAATAGATCAACCATTTTAGTACTTAACCTAAAGGATGTTACGTTGATATTGCTGTATCATTTCATTGGAATGGTTGGATGGGATAGTACTGCAGTACTGAAGAGTGTTGTTCAGTATTGAGGAAAGGACCTCAGATACTAGAAGGAAAACACATACGAGAATTGACTTTGCTGGGGACAGTAGTAAAATTGAGATTGAAGTTGAGAGTAGCATGATAATAATGAAAATAAATGTAGAAATCTGTATCATGTCCTTAATCTTTTAGGAAAGAATCTGAACGGAGGGTTTTTTTTATTATTATCAATAGTAAATCTATTATGAGACTTCAACAGTTTATGCTATGTCAAGAAAAACATGTTTATAAGTAAGGAAAATTGACTAAATCAGCATAACATTAATAATACAAATTTCTGGGATTTAAACCATAAGTTTGTAATACAAAGTAAATAAAGTATCAGACTTTGAAGGGCCTTCCTTTCTAAATAACTTTTTCTCTTTCAGGGTGATCTTGGAAAAAGAAGGGCCTCGTTCCTTGTTTAGAGGATTGGGCCCCAATTTAGTGGGGGTAGCTCCTTCCAGGTAAAAATAGATAAATAAATAAGCAAAAGTATGACAATTTTTTTTCACGTTTCAGGGTATATGGATTTTATAATTTATAGGTACAGTTAAATTTTACACATGCAGGTTTAAATGTTTATGGGAAGTTAAAATGTTTAATTTTCTTTGTAATGATTTAAGGTGCTTAACAGAACAAATTTATAACCATAATAAAGTAAGGCTTGGTAGCAGGAAATGGAACTGGGTATTTCAAAGATTAAAAATGATTCAATACCATTAGAAATTAGGGGTAATGGAATACAAACGGTATGTCCCATAATGTAAGGGAGAGGTATATTTGCATTAATGTTAAATTATGGATAGTCTTATACTAGGGAGAAAAAGATGCGTGGCATATTATAGCTGGAGATTTAAGAAATGCTGTATTTTATAGGTTAGCATTATAAGCAATCATTTATCTAAAATTCCGTGGATGAAACTGAGATTTTTTATTTTTTGACATTGTGTTTAAAGTTGAAAATAGTGAAGATAACATTTATCTTTACATTGCACAGAATAGGAGGTTAAAATAGTAATATTTGCAGGTAAATCTAGAAATTCCCCTGTAACTAAGTGCTGTGTACTCAGATCTTCTAGGGGGTTGCTTACATTCTCCTCTGGTCTTAGAAGCTAGAAGAATTTTTGTGGAGGAAAAACATGAAAATTGCACAGATGTAGGCCCATAGACTATTCTGATATTTCGAGATAGGGGTTTGGTAGTTTTTGTGAATTTAAGCCAGCTCTTACATTTTGAAAAATCTCTCTACAGAAAATAAGCATTCTTATAAACACATGTATCCCTTGGTCCCAAAGACTTAGCATTTAGGATATATCTCTAAAATTTTTCTATTTCTGATAGCCATTTTGTTCTGTACACCATATGAAGTCAGTGATTTTCTTCCTGGCTTCTCACATAGCAATTAAACTTCAAAGAAATAAAATGGGAAAGTAGGAGCAAGAGTCAGGACTTAGAACAGGCTTGAAGAAAGGGGCAAGAAGCCTGAAAGCATCAGAACTTGTGTAGCATTAAAGGGCAACAAAATGTGCACACAGATACTTATTATGCTAAAGGAAGATGAAAGGAAGATGCCGAAGAGAAGTCAGTGTGGTGAAGATAAAGCACTGTGATATCAGTAACCATCTTTAAAGAGGGGGCCGACTGTAGCCATGTGGAGGTACAGAGGACCTCTTAGATCATTGTGAAGCAGTTTTTGCACAGAACTCAAAAGGCAAAGAACAAACTAAAGGAACTAGCGTTAAGAAAGGGGAAGCCTTTTTTCTGGTCTTGGCTTAGGGGACAGAACGAACAGAATGGTTCCATTCCCCCTTAAAGAAGCCAAAAAGACCATAATACATTAATTAATTTTATCCTAGATTGTTGACTTCTTCCATGATAGAACACTGTCCAAACTGCATAGAGTGAAATGCTTTCTGAATCCAAACCATGTACCCCACACCTCATTATTTATCCTATTTCAAGTATTGTTTTGTTTTGTTTTAAATAGGTCCTTTTCTTTTTACAAATTATCTAAAATTACATCCTCATTGTAAAAACTAGTAACAAAAATGTATAGAATAAAACTTGACATTCCACTTTGAACACATCACCTTGCACCCATCTACCTTGCCACACCTACTTCGTCTTCTAACCCATAATTGTCATCACATCAGTTCCGATTCTTGGTGACCCCTTGTGTGTCAGAGTAGATTTGTGCTCCTTGGGGTTTTCAGTGGCTGATTTTTCAGAAGTAGATCTCCAGGCCTTTCTTCCAAGCTGAGCATGTTAACCATTTGCGCCACCCAGGGACTCCAACCCATAGTAGATAACCACCATTAATAAACAGTTTGGTATATGTTCTTCCAGTCATTTTTCTGGGTTATTATATAAAACATTCGACTGTGTAGGTCATAACAAATCATGGATAACATTGCGAAGAATGGCAATTCCAAAACACTTAATTGTGCTCATGAGATACCTGTACATAGGCCAAGAGGCAGTCGTTCAAACAGAACAAGGGGATACTGGGTAGTTTAAAGCCAGGAAGGGTGTGAATCAAGGTTGTATCCTTTCACTATACTTAGTCTGTTTGCTGAGCAAATTTTCTGAGAAGTTGGGACTATATGAAGAAGAACGTGGCATCAGGATTGAAGGAAGACTCATTAACAACCTGTTTTATGCAGATGACACACCCTTGCTTACTGAAAGTGAAGAGGACTTGAAGCCCTTACTGATGAAGATGAGGGACTACAGCCTTCAGTATGGATTACACCTGAACATAAAGAAAAAAATCCTCACAACTGGACCAGTAAGCGACATCATGGTAAACAGAGAAAAGATTGAAGTTGCCAAAGATTTCATTTTTTGGATCCACGGTCAACGCCCATGGAAGCAGCAGTCAAGAAATCAAACAACGTATCGCACTGGGAAAATCTGCTAAAGACCTTTTTAAAGTGTTAAAAAGGAAAGACGTCAGTTTCAGGACTAAGGTGCGCCTGACCCAAGCTATGGTGTTTTTAATAGCCTCATGTGCATGCAGAAGCTGGACAATGAATAAGGAAGACCAAAAAAAAGTTGCCATCTTTGAATTCTGGTGTTGACGAAGAAGATTGAATGTACCATGGACTGCCAGAAGAACGAACAAATTTGTCTTGAAAGAAGTACAGCCAGAATGCTCCTTAGAAGCCAGGATGGCAAGACTTCGTCTCACATACTTTGGACGTGTTGTCAGGTGAAACCAGTCCTTGGAGAAGGACATCATGTTTGGTAAAGGGTCAGTGAAAGAGAGGAAGACCCTCAACAAGATAGATTGATACAGTGGCAGCAGCAGTGAGCTCAAGCATAACAGCAATGTGAGGATGGTGCAGGACCAGGCAGTGTTTTGTTCTGTTGTACATAGGGTCACTATGAGTCAGGACTGACTTGATGGCACCTAACAACATATACATAAAAACATATTTATTTGCATAAATTGAATCATATTAAATATTTCACCTAATTTGTCTTGAAGTTCTTTCTTGAAAATATGTAGGGTTGTTTTTTTTTTTAATTGTATAATCCATCATTAATAAGCATTGATACACATTTAGATTAGATTATTTCCAGACTTTTAGTGTTAAAGATCTTGGTTCTGTGAACATAATTATACCTATAGCTTTGAATCCTTAAGTATATTTCTTTAGGATGGTTATCTAATAGAATTTCTGGACAGAATGATGTATGCACATTTAAAATTAATGAATACTGCTCAGTTGCCTTCCAAGAAGGCATGACATAATTTTTTATTCCCAAATAGTGAATTAGTTGTTCTTTATCCACGTCCTTACCAATGCTGTTAACCATCTTCTTAATGTTTGCAAGTGAACTAAAATGATTTTTCACTGTTTTAACATACAGTTGTTAATTTTTGGTGCAGTTATGCATCCTTTTATGTAGTTATTGCCCATTTGTATGTCTGTTCTGTGAATTGCCTGTACATATTACTTGCTGGACTATATGAAGAAGAAGCCGGCATCAGGATTGGAGGAAGACTCATTAACAACCTGAGATGTGCAGATGACACAACTTTGCTGAAAGTGAAGAGGACTTGAAGCACTTAACTGATAAAGATCAAAGACCACAGCCTTCTGTATGGATTATCCCTCATTGTAAAGAAAACAAAAATCCTCACAACTGGACCAGTAAACAACACCATGATAAATGGAGGAAGTATTAAAGTTGTTAAGGATTTCACTTTACTTGGATCCGTAATCAACACCCATAGAAGCAGCAGTCAGGAAATCAAATGATGTATTGTATTGGGCAAATCTGTTGCAAAAGACCTCTTTAAAGCGTTGACAGATGTCACTTTAAGGACTAAGATGTACGTGACCCACCCCATGGTGTTTTCGTTCGCCTCCTAAGCATGCAAAAGCTGGACAATGAATAAGGAAGACTACAGAAGAACTGATGCCTTTGAATTATGGTATTGGCAAAGAATATTGAGTATACATACCATGGATTGCCAAAAGAACTGTATTTAAACCATACATCACATTCTCAAATTACGCTATGACTTTATAAAGCAAACAAATCTGTCTTGGAAGTGCAGCCAGAATGCTCTTTAGAAGCAAGAGAGAACGGCGAGACTTTTTCTCACATACTTTGGACATGTTATCAGGAGGGACCAGTCCTTGGAGAAGAGCATCATGCTTGGTAAAGTAGAGGGTCAGTGAAAAAAGAGGAAGACCCTCAATGAGATGGATTGACACAGTGGCTGCAACGATGGGCTCAAAGATAGCAACGATTAAGAGGATGGTCCAGGACCGGGCAACGTTTTTGTTGTGTTTTACATGCAATTGCTATGAATCGGAACCAGCATGACAACAGCAATATTCCTTGCCCATTTTCTCATTAGAATGTTTGTCTTTTTTCTTATTGATTTCTGTTAATGCATTGCTTATTTCTCTTCACTGTTTGGCATCACATTTTTAAAAGCACAGCAGTGAAACTCTCCCCATTTATACTTGTTTGTCTGCTCTGTCCCTTACTGAACAGATGATCAGATTTGTGGAGAAATACAGGATATTTCATACATCAAGCAAATAATTCAGTGCAGGGCAAAGCTAAACAATGGGAAAGGTAGTGGGAATGCAAAAAGTCATAGTAAATTGACGGGGAATATTTACAAGTGTTGTAAAACAACCTGACCTGATGGGGCTGATTTCTGTTGTTGGAGTTGTTTATGTAAAGGTACTATGAACTACAATGTGTGTAGTATAGATTAGAATATACCATAATACCTCAAATCGTTTAATATAACATTTCCAGAATTAATCTAGCCTTTTTTCTTCCTTTTTCCCTCCCTTCTTCCTTCTTCTCCGTCTCCCTCCTTCCTCCTTCTTTCTTTCTTTCTAATATATAAAGTGTTGGGTTTTTTTTTTTTTTTTTCCCCAAATAAGAACTCCTTGAGGTTTTCTCCTGTCAGTAGTTATTTTTACTTTGATCAGTTGGATCAGCACTACCCCCTCCCCCCAAAATATACGTGTGTGTGTATAAATTTGTGACGTGCGCAAACCACATTTACTAAACTCAGTTATGTGTATGTAGTTGAGCCTTAGCCTTATATAGTGGGCTTATTTACGTGTTTTTCAGTGATCAGATTCTTACACAAATCCTTTTTGTTTTAGTCAATTGCTAGTAGTTGTCACAGTATTTTGGTGGAAGGACTGTTTGCAGATGCTAGAAACTTCGAGTGTTTTTTTTTTTAATGAGTCAATACAAAAAATATATCAGGGGTCTTCATGGAAAAAATGTGGCTGAGGTGTAGTTTATGTCTTTAGATTTGTTACTGTTTGACATAATTTATCTCCAGTCCAAAATTTCAAATCTCAATTTACATGTTTAACAATATGCTTAACTGATAAAATTTAAACCTTTGTTTTAGAGCAATATACTTTGCTGCTTATTCAAACTGCAAGGAAACATTGAACGGTGTATTTGATCCTGATTCTACCCAGGTACACATGATTTCAGCTGCAATGGCAGGTATGAATGTATGATATTAAAAAGAAAAACTCTGAAACACAGATACTTAATATTGAATTATGAATTTACATTGAGTAGTTAAGATGATTAATGTGTTTTTCATTGATTTAGCATCTGTAAAAAATGATTTTTACATTCATTAGTATAAAAATACATTTGATCAAGTATGCAAAAATCTATTGTCAATTGGCATTTTTTTTTTAATTAGGTGTTTTAAGTGATAGGATACAGGTGATACAGTATTTCTTTTGCCTTTTTTAGTCCACTGACTATGTAGTGATCTCTTAACAATTTTGAAAATCTAACTATAATTACACTATAAGTTATGGAGCTATAATTTACTCTTCTCTCCTCAATTTCTGTTAGTGCCCTTTTCCTTTTTGCTGCATGTTTTGGCTTCTGTCTGAAATGTGCCGGCAGTTCTTGGTAAAGTATTCATTTTGTCCCGTGCTCAAGTGCTGAAATTTGCGTATGTGGTGTGTTATTGATAGCTTTGAGTTACCATACTATTTGTATTTTTTAAAATATGTTTATAGTCTGAATTTGTGACACCCTAGAGGCATTCCACATGAATAAACATTAGATAGTACTTGAAATGTAGGCACTGGCTGTGCGTACATGCTTGCTATAGGAATGCTTCCAGCAACACTTCTACCATAATTAATGAGTATATATGATTTAGAATTATAACAACTAGCCCTTAGTCTCTCTGATTCCACGTCCTTAAAGATGAACTGCAGGAGATTGGTTTGACCAATTTGGTTCTGGAATCATTTGCTGCCATGCATGTTAGACAAAGCCATGAACTTTGGTTCTCAAAAGAAATTTCTCTCCAGTTTTCTGAGACTTATTGCTTTATTTAACCATACATCACATTCTCAAATTATGCTGTGACTTCATAAAGCAAACTATAGCTGCTCTAATTATCTTTTTTGATAAATAAGTTGAGTCAATTATATGCTTAATAATGAGTGCCTTAAACTGTTAACCATTTTCTGTTTAGAAATAAATTGGATCAATTTGAACCACATACTTAACGAGCTAAGTGTAAGTTTGAAATACTAATTTCTGAAAGGTTGATAGCGCTTACCGTATACATCTAGCAGCTACCTTACAAATTGTTTTCAAGGCTTTTTTGTGTTTAGTAATTGCTGACCGACTCATCTACATTTTAAAGCTGGAAGGGGCAACCTTAAAGGTCAAGGTAGTGAAATTTACCAATGAGAACATCTTGGACCAGTTGTATAATTTATGTGAACCTTCATTGCCTTATCTATAAAATGAATAGGTCGGTCTACGTAATATGGATTCTGAGAATTAGTTCTTTAATTTGGTACCATAGAAATTATCTAGTTCCAACTAAAATTATTTTTAATATACCTTTTACATATGTTGAATATGAATGGATACAGTTTTTCCCCTACAAATTTGAGGGATCTGAGATAAAAGTTGGTAGCCAATGAAAACTATGTAACCACTGTATTAGGTTCTTTAAGAATATATTTCTGAATTACCAGTGCTTGTATTTTTTTAACCCCAGAAAATCATAAAGAAATGTTAATCTTTCTGTTTTGAAAGAGTTGAAATCAAGAAAGTAGGTAAGCAATTATTTTAAGCTGAGGATAGTTGTAAATTGAGAGGCTCAGAATATCTCAATCCCTGCCGTAACATCTTTTTTCTTTAGAATATCTCATCAGAATTTATTGTGATTTTTCTATCACATTGCAAAGAATTTCAGTAAAATTGTCATTTTGCTTTTTTCTCAGTTGTGTACAAATGCTAACTCATGGTTTGTCTTTTTATCTATACACTGATACTGTTTCTCAGGGTAAATTCCTTGAATTTTAGTAAATTGATATACTTGTTCAAAGATTATTATACTGTACATTTATTGTGTAATTTGAAAATACTTCTTCCATTTGTTTGCAGTTACATTTTTCTGAGAGCTTCTTACACTATTCGTGAGCATTAACATTTAGCTTTACAGTAGTGTACATAACTACATGGTTGAAACTGAATGGTCCCATGCAGACTCATTAAGGTAGCTTTTTGCCGTCTTCATTCTTGAAATAATCCAGACCAGTTTGCTCTGGTTTTCCTTCAGGACCATTTTTAGAGGTCTTCTCATATGAATTATTTGGGGGTATGAAGTGCTTAGAGGTAGTCAAATGAGAAAAATCAATTTTTAACTGGCTATTCAAAAAAAAAAAAAATGCTAACCTTGTCACTTTAGTATCAGAAAATGTACTAAAATAGACGACCGTTAACAGTATTGCCTGTAAAATTTTGCCACACTATTGTATACACGCGTTAAAGCACCGAGCAGCCTCTCAAATCAGTTTCGTTTTGCATTTTATCTGTCTATGAATCCGAGTGTTTAATTTAGATACAAAGGCTTATTATTATTATTATTAAAAGACAGTTTATTTGAAGTGGGTCTTATTTTCATTTGTTTTACTGTTTCAAGTAAATACTACAAGAATTTGTAAGCTTCTAAAATAGAGCTATAAATTTTCACACAAATTTTCAAGTTGTGAGGATATTTAATGAAATTAAGTAATATTGGCTTCGTTTATGTTTTACTGGCCTTTTTCCCCCTGCATATGACCTTTGTCAGACTAAGTATGTCTTAGCTATTGAGGTTTTTGTTTTGTGCCTGTGTGTTCTTGTTTAAATAAACTTGTATATCCTTTTTTTTTTCCCGCACCATTTTTGGTGAGTTTGTTCTGCATGCCAATATGTACAAAGTACTTTTTTCCAAAAAATCACCTAATTCTACAAGACCATTGTTAAAGAATAAATATTAAGTTTCAATTTATACATAAGATAATAGAGCATCTGAAATTTTAAATGACTTTCTCCAAGTCATACAGCTAGTAGTCAGCAGAATCAGAATTCAAACCTAGTTTTTTTTCTGACTCTGTCTCTTAACTCCTGCACTGCATAGATGATAAAAGAGCCTGCATGTCCTTTCTTATATACCTAGACACAGATGTATATTCAAAAAATAATGTTTTATTTTTTATAGGAATTCCCAATTTTCAAAAGTTTTTATCTGGCATGTATATATTTTTATATACATTATATATTTAAAGGAAATGATTTTTATTGGATTATATATTCAGTTATTCAGTTTTTTAAATTCCAATGATATAATTGTTAACATTTTCTACACCTAGTAGGTTTTATTTACTTATGGCATATACTGTTATTTTTCAAGATGTAATTTTCTGTTTGACTTAAAGTTTATAATCAAAGATTAAGCTTTTACTGATTGAATAGAAATTTTGTCTTGCATGTCTAAAGTATTTTTAAACAATATCTTATTTATCCATGGCAGTTCATTCAGCCAGATGAATGGTTGGACAGATGTTTTGTGTGTTTGTGTGTAAACATTCTTCCTGTTTTTTGTTTTGTAGAACACAAGAAATTAAATACAAAATAAAATATTCCATAAGTATGGATGTGCATTATTACTGTCCATAGTGCAAAAGGTGACAGGTACCATTGTAGAAACCTTTATCTTACAGTAAAATTATAAATAGTTACAAAATGAAGTTACTTGAATATTCTGTTGGGGTTTTTTTTTTGTTGTTTTGTTTTAAAACAGATTTACTAAGTAGGCTGATTGTTAAAGAATAGAAAATTACATTTTCAGCTCTTTGGTAACAGTAAATAATAATGGTAGGAAAATGGGATACCATAATCCCCTCTAAACGAGGTAGTTTTTTAGATTCCTCTTTGACAAGGTTAGCATTTTTTCTTTTAAGCTAATTTGGGCTTCTTTTAGGTAAGTATTTGGACTCTGAAACTGCTGCAGATGGCAGAATTTTCAGTACTCGGTGCATTTTTTTAAAAAAAATTTGTGGCCCATTCTGATATTTTCTTTTCCTTTTTCTTTCTTTTTTTTTAAACTTGAAATTTTCAAAAAAGTTAGATCTCACAGTAAATATTTCTCAAATCCTTCCAATGGGATTCAGTTTGTACACATGTTTCTGATGAGGTCACTGCTTGTTGTTATGATACAGAAAAGCCTGTGTCTATTTTAGGCATTTACTGTACATTTCTCCCGAGAAAAGAGTGAGATCGTGTCATCTCATGCTCCCCATCCGCAGGTCACTTCCTGTAGAAATATGGACTAACTTAAACCTCGTGAGTACTGAACTGAGCATCTCTTGCAGCCTCTAGTATAAGAAACACACCCTGGGTTTTTATAACAGCTGTGGAATTAATAGAAGGCGGGAAATGAGCTCTTACTTCCTGAATTTGTGTGTGCATAATCTGAGTATTTTATAAAAATTAAATTCTGATCTCTTTTTAAAATCATTCTAGAAGGAAGTATGGGGTACTTTTCAGTCATCATGTAATAAAAGCCTGGGGTCTTCAGCTTGGCCATAACAAGCTTGACCTCAAAAGAATTTGATAACAGCATTTAAAATACACAGTTGTAAATGGTATCATACCGTCCTACAGCTTTGAGCAAAATAGGTAGTTCTCTTTGGTTAGCATAACATATTTAAGAATCTAATACAGTGCTTTCTATTCTCTTGTCTGTCAATAGTAGGCTTTCTACTCTTGCAAAAATATTGATCTTATTACTTTCTAAATAAATGCAGAAGAATATATGGGATCTTAGCTGTTTTAGTTTTAATTCAGTTTTTTTTTTTTTTTTTTTAAATAACTTTTTAACACGTTTCTTGTATGAGGTTAGGTAGCCTTTGGTCTTACAGAAGTTAATTGAAAGAAGTATAGAAAATGCAATACTACAGGTATTGCTCACTTAATGAAACATTTTCAGCAAGTTTACTACAAGCAGAATTTCTGTTAATCTGGTTTTTAATTGGTTTACATGGTTAAATAAAGTCTTAGATGAAGCAAAACTTTAAAAATTGCACCTTTAAGAATTTGAAAACCTATGTAGTAAAATACTAGCCACTCTACTAACAGTATGACCCAGTATATTGGCACTTTGCTCTAACTGATTATGGAACAAATTAATTCTTAACATACAGTTGGATCCCTTGTATACCTCTAAGTCAATTTTAATGTTTAACTGGGTGCTCAGAAGAGTATTATGAATTAGCGTGTTGTCAAAATGTCACAAAATTAAAATGCCAAAATAAAAAATAATAGGCAATTTTTAAATTTTGGGGATACCATTCCTAATATCTTTGTGTATGTTTGTCTTAGAAGAAGTTGGAAGATATGTTTACCTTTGGCATTTTTACCGTTTGTCAACCTCAGATTACCTTACCATATAAAATTTTAAGTTAATGGTAAAATTTTGTTTCTTCCCTCTTCTTGTTTCATTTCTTGAATTAAGAGATTATATTTTTCTAGATTTAATTAGTCTGATAGTGTCTCGTTAGCTTATTAATGTATCCTTGGTGAAGGGAACATAATAGTATAAAATCCAAGGAGTAGAATTTTAACTGGTACAATACTAAAAGTTAAAAACCTATGAATTATGCCTACATTCTTTATGTAATGTAATGGTTTGCTGGCAGTTAGGTTTGTGTCTTTATTAAGAGCTAGCTCATTATTGGAAGAGTTGAGCCAAAACAACTCTAGCATCACTGGGTACTCCAGCTGATGAATAGCAGTCTTAGGGATAAAATGATAACATTATCTTACTTACCTATTCCTTAGGTTAGTATGTGCCTGGAAATGAATTTTAGTTAAGTGAGAAATGCCTGTTGTTTGCTTCCTGTCTTTGTTTATTAATATATACAGGGAATGATTTAAAATTACAATCTATAGATGTATTTTTTAAATATTTCTGGTAACACATTAAATAATTACTATGATATTTTAAAATTATATGGGGTTTTTTTCAGACTAATTGAAGAATTTTGTGACTTGAAGAGTATTATGGACAGAAACTTGGGTACTAAGTTTTATATTTTTAGAAATAGAACTTTTATTCTAAAAATAATTGATGCTTCTATGCATTAATTGTTTGGGCTCACCTTTTCAAATAAAGTATAATAAATGAGAATTTTTTCCTAGACAGGCTGTTTTTTAAAAAGTCTGATAAAAAGATTCCCAGTTTTACACTTTCAAAATTTAATAAAAAACATTGCTGCAGAATGAGTAATAAAAACCTTTATGAGTAATGCAGAATATTTTGTTGTTTGTGCTGCTAAGTGACTTTTCATTAATAAACCGTTAATCTTGCTGTGCAGACATTTAGCTAATACACATATTTAAGTTTAAAAAATAAGCACCATTAAATCAGGGTTTGAACAGAATATTGATATCTGATGCATATTTGCTTCAAAATATTATTTGAGTATCTTTAGTTTGACTTTTTCACTTAGAAGAATGAGTTTCAAAAGAAGAAAAAAAAGTAACACTCAAGCTTTGTTCTCACTTAATTAAGCCAAGCCATGCAAGAAAAATCCCTTTCAAACGAGATGTTTAAACTGATCTATGTTTTTTTTCTTTCTACCAAGAATTATATGCATGAAAAGAACCTCTTATTAAAAGATGTTCCTAACAACCTCCTCAATACTTTAAATTTTTATTATTTTAGTACTGGCTGATACTTCCAAAATTGTTAACCCTGTTCTGATGTTATACTTACATATGTAGTATTAAAAGCACTGAAGAGAAATCTAGAGTATATAGTCTAGACAAAATTGTTAAAGGAGTTATTAAACCAAACTTCTGTTCTTTTCATTAAGTACATTTATCTTGCTTGCAAAATAGATTTAATTGGAGCATCCCATTGGGTAACATCTGGCCATTTCTACACAGTGTTAAAAACAGTGGAGAAGGGAGTAAAACATGTGTTAGCTAATTATCTAACGTGACAGAAAGGAAAAAAAGCTGTGAGGCCACATTCAGCTATGTAAACAATTTGTTAAAATTATTTTTTACTTGTAGATAGGCCCATACTAACTTTGAATGCCCAGAAAGGTTTATGATTGATTTTGCACAATATGTTAAATATATATATTTCAAAGTGCACCAGAGATTTTTGTTCCTGAAAATACTTTACTTTTATTAATGTGCTAATTACATTCCACCTTTTTAAAAATAATATGCTTCACCTTGATAGAATTTGATAGAAAATATTAGAACAGTTAATTAAGATCCTTGAACATTACTGCATGCAAGTTTTCATTAAATTTAAAGGCCAGTTGAATAAATGTAGCTTGATGTAAGTAGTTCTGTTCAGTTTGTGCAGCTGATCTTCAGTGTTTGAAAGCAATTTATTAAAATCCTGTTGTGTAGATGAAGCAATCTTCATAAGTTCCTGTCACCAAGATTGCACTTTGTGTGCTGTTCTTCCATAACACTTGGAAGATGACAAGCAATAATGATATGCACTAGCCTAGAAGCATCCTATTCCAGAGATCTTAGTTTACTACTTGGAATGAGCCATTTTCAGTTAACCACCTTTCTGTACTAATAGTTAATATATAGTACTTGAATTTTAAACTAGAGCTACCTTCTACTATACATTTCTCTCTTCAGTGTCTATAAAAATGAGAGGGAAGTTGCTTTTCGTAACTTTTTTTTGAACTTTTGAGTTTTTCTATGTGTCTAAGTAGATAAAAAATAGATCTGTTTTAATAACCCTCGCAGAAACCCTCTCTCTGATACCATTATTTTAACAGAATTAGTAAGTGTATGTTTATATAAGTATTCATGGGGCCAAACAATAAATCCTTTCTGTTATACAACTAACTTAAGTGCAAAATATTAACATGGTGACATATTTATATAGAAACAATTTTGAATATAGTGATTTGTGATCTTAATCAGACCCCAAGTAGCTATTGTAGAGTTTGCATGCTTTTTAGCCCTAGAATACATAAATTTCTGTACTTTTGTCATAGAAATGGGTTTCTGAATTTGTCTTAGAGAGTAGAGGGTAGCCAGAAGGTGTTTTGTATAGTTTGGGAGAGGAATTTATACATAATCAGATTTTGCTCTTAAGAGTCTTTTAGTTAAAGTCAGAATTGGAGAATTTTATTTACGTAGATTGGAAATAAAGTGAAATGTCTGGTTTTATGGATTTGTTAAGTAAAAATGTAAGGCATATATAAATTAATAGTTTGAATATATATTTTTTCTTTAATCTAGATTTATATAATTTTAAAAAGTCTTCCATTTAAATAGTGTTCTTCATTTTTACCAGAGTTCTTTTTAAACGTGTTTGTGTAGGTTTTACTGCAATCACAGCGACCAACCCCATTTGGCTTATAAAGACTCGGTTACAGCTTGATGCAAGGTATGTTAATCCATTAAAATCGAATTAGTTGAAGTTGATTTCAACTAACCTTTTCTATGTATATTTTTTGTAATCAGTGAGATTTTAGTGCCAGATGTTTAAGCATATTTTTCCCTTTTGCTCCACTGAGATTTTTTTTTCATTTTATTCATTTATTTTTTTTAATTTGGGTCTTCCATCAGAAGCAAAAATGATTTAATAGTTGGCAGTATGAGACTTTCCAGGTTAAAATGTATTATGTGCTATGATTTTTAAAATAAAAAAGGTATGTTAACCTAGCCCAAGAAATAATACTTGCACTACGTGAAAGCTTATTATTGTCTTCCCAACAGCTAGATAAGCCACATGGTAGCTAGTCTAGACTGAGTCTTTGAGGATCATTGCTCAGATTCAGTAACCTTATATACAAAGAGTTATGGCTGGGATTTACCTCTCAGTTAATTGGTAGATTCTTCATCTGTTAACACTGAGCACTTTACAGGTAGCAAGATTCATTCATTCACAAATCTATATTGAGCACATACTGTACTATATACCAGAAACTTCTAGGTTTCTAGAGATAAATAGTAGTAAACACTGGGGACCAACTTTCAAATGGAATAGTAAAGGAATTGTTTTCTAGCCCATTTTAAGCAGAGGCAACAGCCAATGCATACCTCAGAGGCCGTGAAGTATAGGGCCTTTGATATGTTCTGGGAACTGAGAGAAGGCCAGCCCAACCGCAGTGCAACTTAGGGTCTTGCCATCTCAACTCCTGTTGGCCTTTAGAGTAGAGGATGGGGTAAAGAGATGACCCATAATAATAATGTTGATAGTTTTGAAATGTTCAGACTTTCAGTCTCAAATGGAGTAGTAACCTGATTTTCTATTTAAGCAAATGATGTACATAACAAATTTGTGCTGGTTTTATATTTGGGGGTTTGGGAAGTAGCCTATAAACGCTGATCCATCAAATCATTAACAGTTACTACGCCTGCTTAAATATTTGTTTTTCACATTCTTTCATGTTAAACTGTTTGCTGTTTTGAGACTCGAAAAGAAATGTCTAGTTCTTGTTGCATCTGGAGTAGTCATTTTAATAAAATATATATGGCATAGCAGAAAACAAAGTTTATTTCTGAAAGCCAAGTATCTGAAAAGTGATGATAGACAAGACTTAATGAGTTACCTGTTGCTGTCAAATTGACTCTGACTCATGACGACCCCATGTGTGTCAGCATGGAACTGTGCTACATAAGATTTTCTTTCTTCTTTTTCTAAATTACGATGAGAGTACACGTAACAAAACATACACCATTGCAGCAATTTCTATATTTACAGTTCAGTGACATTGATTACATTCTTCTAGTTCCATAAGGTTTTCAGTGGCTGGTATTACAGGAGTAGATCACCAGGTCTTTTCTTCTGAGGTGCCTCTGGGTGGACTCGAACCTCCAACCTTTATCTTAGCAGCCAAGCACATTAACTGCACCACTGAGGGACTCCTGATAAGACTTAACCCACAGGGTAAAAAAGTGTGAGGTGCCAGTCTACATTATACTATTCTAAACTATCAATGATATGCTTCATTGTGTTATAGGATTGATTTGTAGGGAATTCAGGAAAAGCAGGGCTTTAAAACTTTAATACTTTTTCACTTGTAATGCAAGCCAGCACAATTTTTTAGGCTTGGGGGCAGGGGATAAGGATGAAGTAATAAGTGTAAGTGAAGCACTGATTTAAGGATTCTAATTTATAACACCAATTCAGAGACGGGGCTGATGTGTTTGTATGTCACTTTTGGGACTTCTAGCTCTTGTAGCTTTCTTTGAGGAAGAATTTCTGGTGGCAGGAGCTAATTGTAGTTGGTTGCTTGCATGGATCATTCAACCAAATAGGTATTCAATATCTGAAGATAATCATTAGGTAATACAACCGGAAGAATCAGTACGTTATCAGGTAGGGTATTTTAGTTGCGGCTTTATTTTATGGTAGAAGCAATTTAGGTATAATTTATAAATAGATATATTTTCAATTTCTTTTTCTGTTGGCGGTGTTAAACCTATTTCTTAAAGATAAGGTTCTATGGGGGTAATCATAGTGTAAGGTAATATTCTTAGGAACTCGTGAAATTACATACCTCTATAAGAATAGATTCTGCACCTTTAGGTAGCAGCAACTGAAGAAATTTTCTTGTGCACAATACTCAATAAATAACTATAGAGGTTGTGACTCACCATTCACCGGGGATACTGAGATGAAATATATGGTCATTGCCTTCAAGGGATCATAGGAAATTTGACTTAAGTCCACCTAGTCACTTTTTGGGGATAATTGGAAAGGGTTGATAGAGTTCCTTAGGTGCACAGAAATCAGATTAATCTTAGTCTTTGCTTTATTAAACATTGCCATCATTGATGTCTCAATCACTCTTTTTATATGTTATTAACTGCAAAGGAAATTCAACTTTAGAACTGAATTTACTATAATGTGAGGGGTTTATGTTTATTTTGTTTTTATCTTCACCTGCAGTCAGAGTGGATATTTCCCAAAGGAATTGTTACTTATTCCCACAGCACAAACTCCAATGAGGACATGAAACTGAGGATTCAGTGTGGTGTATTTTGCATCCAGTAAAATAAACTGTTTATATGACAGATTTGGGACAAAAGAATAGGAAGTCTTAAATAATAAATGTTTTAAAATTATAATTTCACTTCATAATTTAGAGAGAGCCATTCTTTATTAGAGTGGCACATTTCTGCTATATTTACTTCTGATTTCAAAATCTGTATTGTATTTATGTTAACAAGACTTCTCTTTTTGCTTTTCAGGAACCGTGGGGAAAAACGAATGGGTGCGTTTGAGTGTGTTCGTAAAGTGTATCAGATGGATGGACTAAGAGGATTTTATAGGGGCATGTCGGCTTCATATGCTGGCATATCAGAAACTGTTATTCATTTTGTTATTTATGAAAATATTAAGCAAAAACTACTGGAATATAAAACTGCTTCAGCGATGGAAGAGGATGAAGAGTCTGTGAAAGAAGCATCAGATTTTGTGGGAATGATGTTGGCTGCTGCCACCTCAAAAACTTGTGCCACAAGTATAGCATATCCACACGGTAAGAGTTGAGTTTGTATGAGTCATATTCTAGTACATCTGAAATGTTTCCTTACCCTGGACAACAGCACACTTACTAGAGCATTGTAATATTCTGAAATCTTAAGTATAACAAATACTGTTCTTGGAAGTTCATCAATGGGAATAAATCTATATAAGTAACATAAGATTGTATAAATAGTTTAGTATGTGCTATAAAGTAGCATGTTGGTGATTGAGCATGGACTGTAGTTAGATGGTCAAATTCCAGCCATGTCACTTACCTCAGCTAGGTGACTTTGAGGCAGGTTTCTGAGAAGAGATGTTAAATAACTTACCCAAGGTCACATGGCTACTCAGCATTGGAGCCCAAATTCAAATTGAAGTCTGTAATCCCGAAGACCAAATGATCTTATATTATTTCATGTTGACAAATAAGTGAGTATAGTAATCTCTTTAATTATGATCTTTAAATTTTATATTAGTTTATTTCATTAATAGCTAAAGAAATCACTTAAGAATTTGTAACAAACTGAATTTTTTTTGGTTTGTTGTTTTTCTATATAAGTATAGCCTTTGATTTTTTTTGTCTGGTTGAGGTTTGTTTACTCTAAGTGCTTTACTTTTGTTATGCTGATTAACGTTTACATTCACCCTTGTGAAGCTAAAAGCTCCGTGATGAAAGCTATGTCAGGAAAAATGAAACAGCTGGGAAACAAGTATTTGCTGTAAGCTGTAATTTGTGAAGGCAGTTCTTTTTAACCAGGTTGGACTATTATTATAATGTGACTGGTTTCAGTAAGCTACACATGAAAACTTACTTATTCTGAACTTACACTTAGAGAATGATAAATGGTATGTACTCAGTATAATTAGGAGAGTGTGAAGATACCACTAATGTTTAAATAAAATGACTTTTTTTCCCCCTAAACAGAAGTTATAAGAACAAGACTACGTGAAGAGGGAACAAAATATAGATCTTTTTTTCAGACACTATCTTTGGTTGTTCAAGAAGAAGGTTATGGGTCTCTCTACCGCGGTCTAACAACTCATCTGGTGAGACAGATTCCAAACACAGCTATTATGATGGCCACCTATGAGCTGGTGGTCTACCTACTCAATGGATAGCAACATCTGCCTGTCATTCTATAAAGAGGGAAGACCAAAAGATTACAGTGGACCATGGAATATCTAAGCCAGCATGTGTGGACAGAAGAAAAATCGTTCAGGAACATGTAACTATGCCTAAGTGGAAGTTTGATTGTAGGAGGTAAAGTAATCATACCACATTGCTTGGTCTTGTTGGAAATCTGAAAAAAAAAGCCTCGGCTGCTTCTGAGGAAACGCCTTTAAAAGCACTCCTTTCTCAAAATTTGCCATTTTCTTTACCATGTCCGCCTGACACAGTTGAGTTTTGTTGATTTATGGCAATCAAGAGTATAGTGTTGTTTATTCCATGAGTACTTCTCTAGTCTTCTAAAACAAAGCCATCCCTAATTATATGCTGTATTATAAATGTCCAAAGATGGTATTGACCGTCATAAAGTTTTAACTTCTGGCTTCTGTTCAATTCCTGTAAAATTGCAAAATAACAACAATAATAGTGAGGTCCTCAGTATTATCTTCACATTTCTCTGACAGTACCTGGTACAATATTTTAAAGTTAATTACTTGGTGTTAGTAGTTGCTGTTTTTGACAACCAATAAAATACTGTCTGAATAGCTTGTGTATTTTGGTTTGCACTTCCAACAGGTGCTTGATATTTAGCATAATTGTTTGTTAACACATCAGATTCAAATGGTATTAGTTTGGGACAAAATAAACCAGGAAAATGTTGATTTCTTGACCATTTCAGTGACCTGAGCATGCCCTTGTATCTTCTCTGACGTTATGGTACATGAATGAAGACAGAATTCAGCCATCTTTTTTCAGTGATTTATCAGTTATGAACCTGAATTACCACCTGTTCATCATACCTAGATATCATTTACTTAAAGGGGAAAAAGATTACCATTTTTGAATTTCTTGTCTGCTTGCTTTCACGTTAAGATTTGAACCTTTGAATTATTTGCAGAAGATATGTATAGATTACATTTATTTCACAGAGAAAATGGTAATTTTTAACTTTTTTAGGGTGACATTATATTAATTATCTGGGGCAGTATAAACATAGAAGAGAGGCCGTTTGCTGTCTGCTTCAGCAGGTAGTGATTTTAATTGGCACATAGTTTTGTAATTGAACAAACTGCTTTTAACAAATTTATTCTCTCCTTATTTCCTGAATGGTAAATCATAGAGTCAAGTTAATTCAGATTAAGTGTGCTAAAAGGATATAGCTTTTAAATTTTGCTGTTGAGCTCATCTGCACCTTTTAATACTTCAGATCTATTACATGTATGGCCCTTTATGAAGATGTTCACTGTAATTCTCTGAAGAGACTCCTGCCTATGAATGTTGCTGTACTGGTGTATAAAACTTGTACAATTAAACTCCAGTGTGGTACTCATTTCAGTATACATGAACTGTACATCTTGTGCAATGGCTTTATCTGACTTTTTGTGTATGCACTTTGTGGCCTTTTTCGGGGATGAGAGAATAGGGGAGAATTCCATGTTAAGATTTTAAGAAAAAAAAAATGGTCATGTATTAGGCAGAAACAGTGTTCATAGCATTTTTCTGGGTTTTAAATAATGTTTTGAAAATTTTTAATATAAATGTTTTAAGTGTTCTGTGTATACTTCAGTGCCCCCACTGTTATTGAAAATTATAGTATGTCATTGCAAGCTTTCTCTGCTGTCACCAATGAAATACAGTGCCCTCTTGAATTCTCCTACCCTCTTAAAATCCTTGCAATCAACAGTAACTGGATGATTTCGAGGTGCTTTGATTGGAATTAAAAAAAAATTCCAGTCTATTTGGAGACCAAAGGCAAATTCATTTCTCTTACCTTTTATTATTAATACCTTTTTTGGTGAATTTTAGCTTTGACATTTATTGTGAGGCACATAACCAAAAAACAGAAATGTGGGTTTCTAGCTTGATTCTGTAGAGAAAGTCTCAATCTATAGAGTTTGCATTTTCAGGTGCCACTTGTACTGCCTAATACAGTGCCGTTTGCCTTGCGAAGGTTTGTCAGCATTACGTAGTCATGGTGAATGTTGGACAGAGACTCTCCCTAGTCTTAATGACCTCAGTCCCCACAGTTGGTTAAGAATGATATGAAAACCAGCAACTAAGGAACATCTTACTATTTCGTTGTAGCAGATTCATAACAAGTGTCCTTCAAGGATGAATATGTACTCTAATCCTGTTTGTATTTAGCAAGTAAAACTTTTGTTGCCCTTTAGTGCATTATATTCAGTGTTTAAGAGGGAGTATTATGTAATATAATGGAAGGGAAGGAGAGCTTAGTGTCTTGGATTTTCTTTCTTTGTGCAGCGACTGGAAAGGAGCAGTGAAGTTTCATTGTTTTTTCCCAAAAGCACAATCTGCAGTAGTTTACTTTATGTATGAAGGAGATAATTAAAAAAGAAAACTATATATAAAAGTTGTATATAAAGTTTGACTCCAGACTCTTTCTTTGGAGATTTTTTTTATTATTATTATTGATTAAAATGTTTAAAAAAGAAAAATACATACTCAAAGCATCGGACTTTTTTTTTTTTTAACTGTATTTTCAATCAGATGCCTTTTTTTTCATTTCTAGTATGAAGGTAGTCAGCACTCTTCAGAGCACTCTTCAGATTGGTACATACTTCTATGATAAAATCCTCTCAGAAAATTGAATTGAACTTATGCAGGTGAAAGCAGTAGGTACTGAAAAGACATCCTCTGAGACTAATAGAGCGACAGATAGGACTCCAGTACCTGTTGGCTCGTAGAAATGATTACCTGAGTTTCAAAATCCAAATGTGAGTATTATCAACCCTATGATTGTAGGGTACCAGATAGTGCTTTTAAATCCATGGAAAAACTATTACCAAAGCTTTGTCATTGTGTATGTAAGTTTGTGGAACTAACCTTACTAGATGGGGCACACAGGTAATTGATTTGTAACTTCAAAACCACAGCAGAATATCATTAAATTACCTTACCCTGCCTTTCGTCTCCTAACAAAACCCTAATGCACACTGTGGAACAGCATTATTGTATTAGGACCAGCAGAGTTTGAGTTGTTAACAGTGATGAATGTTTACGCTTAAACTAGAGTATTAGTATCTCAGCATTTTTAGATTAGTTTTAAATAAGTAAAAATGTTGATTTGAATTCGAAGGGTTTAAGTGCTAGAAATTCATCTGTTCTTTGTTCTTTCAGCATTCATTGTTCATGCCTAGTACTAGGTTGTTTACATGCTCTTCTGCCCAGACTGTTAGTACTGTAGGGACCTCTTTTGGGCTAATAAATAAAATAGTTCAGCCTTTTCTTCCTCCAGTTATTGATCATGACTTTAACATTCCTAAGAATATAGATAATGCTGAATGATTTAAATGAGAAGGAGTTTTAATATACAAAAGTAATGCAGTGTACTTTCTGCCCACTCACATCTCTTCTCCATCATGCCCTTATATTTCTCATATACACTGACTTTTATGTGACTCTTTGTAGAAACTGAAAATTCTAGTTTCAGTTTTTGTGTTAGATTTTGAATGTGTACCCCTGCATATGTGAACAATTAAATTATGACCTGTCAGTCATAGCTGAATAGTCCATAAGAGTTGATATCTTTCGGTTATTCATATGAAGTTTGCTATTTTTGCATTTATGTACATGGCTGTAAATTACATGCATTTACTCTGTATTTATGTTAACTAGCTTTTATTTGAATTGTTAAAATTCAAAAATAAAACGTGCTGATGAAAATAGTGGTGATTTTTTTCTGTAGTGTATTTTAATAATTTGGCTTAGGATTATGTATAGAACAAAAGAGCATTATGATGCTCATTGGTCCATTGATACAGTAAACCTTTTTTTTTTTTTTTGAGATTGGGAAGGGGGGCTTGCATCTACTAGACCTAGTGGTAGCTCTAGAAATCAAAGGTCAAATCTAATCAAAAGATCTACCCACTTTACATTTTGTCTGTTTCATTTAATTTTTTAAGTTTTCCTGAATTGTAACTAGTATCAAACATTACCCGGTTTGTGAGGTGAGGAGACCAGGACAGATTTGTCTTGTTCCAATTTCTCAAAGTTAACATAAAGCTGAAATCGTTTGGTCTACTAACAGTACTCTTTCCACTAAACACTGAAATTGTGGATAGCACAAAGAGACTAGCAAAATAGTGGTTGAGATTGGTATGGGTTAGTTCAAGAGTGTCCCAAGTTTAGGCATGCATGTATGTTTATTCATTACTGAATATGAAGAGCTGTGATAGAGGAAGGGAATCGGTGATTTCTTAAGGTTCAAGTGTGACATCTTTACGACTGATAAAATTCAGACAAGCAAGATGTAGTTAAATGATTTTTTCTTCAATTTTGTTTATTTTTCAGTGGTTTTTTTTAATACTGTACAGACCAGCTGGCTACCTTAATAATATGAATGGAATCAGTGCAGTAATTTAAATTCATAGAATTCTGTTACAAAGTATTTTTATGTGATTTTCCCAACAACCTATAGACTGAATGAATAGACAAATGATATTTAGAGGAATAATAGAGCTGGGCTTTTTGACTTGAGTGTCCTGAATATTAAGTCCTGTTATTTTTGTTTTACTCTACTAGGTTATTTATGGGATGACACTGGAAGGGTTAAGAAAAACACCTCATTTAAAGGAAAGATCATTCTCATTCCTGAAATTTTTGTGGAGTAGCTTAATGGAGATGGGGTTGAATTGTGCTTTGGCTGAAGTTGAAAGCATTTATTCAAAAGGATAAATTTTTCGTGTATTTCATGGAGGTGGAATAGCATGAGTAAAGTCTGGGAATTGGCTTAGAATGAAACATATTGGGAAGTAATGAGAAATGGAACTGAGTAAATTTGGACTATATGAACAGGTCTTAGATCTGACCTGTGGAGCTTAGATATCCATTCGGAGACTACTGCAGGACCACAGAATTTTTTTTCCCAAAGCATAGTTAATAACATCATGGAAATTTAGCGTTAACAAATACTAGGTTCAGTAGGTCTTATGTAACCTATTTTCAGTTACACTACCTTTGAGCCTCAGTGATTGCTGAAGGTGACCTGTGTTTTTGGGAAGTGTTACAGTGATTGTTCAGAAAGATCCAGAAAGTTTACATGGAAAAGTTAGCATTTTAACCAGACTTCGGTACAAGAATAAAATTTTGATAGGCTGATATGGCGGGGGAGGCATTCCTTACTGAACCAAACATAAAGTGTTTTAGTAGTCCAAGTCAGGAGAAACTACCCTTTTTCTTTGATTCCTATCTCTTGGGAATGGCCTCTAAAAGTAACTTTCTTCAGATTATGAAACTAGTGGTAGACCCAGAATCCTAAACCAAGTCTCACTCAAAGGAGATCATCATATCCAACCTAAGAAAATTTAGTACAAGACCCCTGTTTTAAACAGTTTGTGTATAAATTTTTGAATGAAAAACTAATTTACACTGTAAACTTCTACCTAAAACAAAATTTTTTTTTAAAAATCCCTGTTTTTCTGTTTCCCAGTCTGCTTCCAAAGCACCTCATAATTCCTCCTTGAGTCTTTCATTGTCAGCTCTGAATTTCAGCTTTCAAGATTCTCCAGTATAATCGGTCTTCATTGTATAAATCCAAGGTTCTGCAATATGGTTGATCTCCATTGTATGAATTTAGTGGCCTCACTATGTAAAAAAAACATTAATGGTTATTTGATCTATACCTTTCTAGGTTGTGTGCTGATTTTTGGTTTCTTTTGTCCCCCCATCCTTACCCCCAATAAATGTGGTGTTAGAGCAACTGGACATCAATATAAATAAAAATGAACCTTGACCTCACCATACACAAAACATGGATGATAGGTAAAATTAAAATTGAAAACAATATCTTTACAACTTAGGGGTAGAGTTCACAAAAAGCACCATAAATTTTTTTTAAATGATAAATACAACATTAAAAGTATTCATAATACAGCTGTCTGACAATACGTAATGAACTAAAAAATAGGCAAAGGCTTAACAGGCACTTCGCAAAGGGAGAGAATAAACACATGAAAAGATGCTTAACGTGATTACTAATACAAATAACCAAAATGAGATACCACTGTGTACCCAGTAGAATGACCAGTAAACTAACAATACCAGGAATGTGAAAACAACTGAAACTCTCATACATTGCTCTTGGGAGTGTAAAGTAGTAAACTACTGTGGAAAACTGCAGTTTCTAAGAAAAGTTACAACTACATCCACCCTATAACTAGAATTTTTACTCAAGGATATTTTCCCAAGAGAAATAAATACGCCCACAAATGCTTATAGCAGCTTTCTTAAATAAAGCTTATCAAGAGAAGATAAATTGTGGTATATTCATACAGTAGAAGAAAACAACAAAAAAAATCAAACCATGAATATATGAAGTAACATGGATGAGTATCAAAAACGTTAAATGAAAGCAGCCAGGCACAAAATTACATATACTCTCATTCCACTTATATGAAGGTCGAGAACAGGCAAAACAAGTCTGGTGATAGAAGTCAAAATAGTGGTTACCTGCCGTAGGGACCTGGAGGAAGGAGATTTGGCTAACAAGGGGCATTGCAGAACTATCTGGAGTAATGTAAATTTTCCATCTGTTGTTCTGGGTAAAACAGGTGTGTACATGAGTGAAAATTTACTAGCTGTACATTTAAGATTTGTCCACTTTTAAACATATTTTTAAAAATCCAATAATGCAAAATACAAACTTAAATTCTTGAGTAAAAGAAGAAATATAAGTGAAAGCTACAGAATAAAACCCATAAAGACCAGATTACTGGAATTAATCACAGTACAGTTTATAAAATTAGCATGCTTAAGATTTCAAAAATTGAGGTTTTAAAAATAATCTTTCTGGCATATGAGTTAGTAGGAACTCGGAGCAACTTGTCTACTCCAGCAGAACTAAATCTCAGATACAACATCCATTTTGAGGCATTGCTCCCAAAAAGTAGATTCCTCAGGAATTTTTCCCCTCCCTCTTCACCGCTGCATACACAAAGCCAAACAATTAGAAATGAATTTGGAGTGGACAGGGTCGAGAGTGGGGCTCAGGCTTAAGTGACCAAGGGCAATCGTGTATCTGGGATCTGGAGCGGAAGAGAAGGAGTGTCAGAGCAGGCTGGTGTACTCCAGGGGTGCTCCCTGGATCCAGTAGAAGCAGAATCAAATCTATGAAGGAAAACTTCCCCAAACTAGGTCCACAGAACTCACAGCATTATCTGATGAAGATAATTAAACATGTAAGGCCAGACACTATGACTGCAGAAACATGGGAACAACAGATTTACGTACACCTCAAGGACTGAGGGTGTTGGAACTGTCAGATACACTGAATATCTGTGATTACAAAAATGAGCATGCAACAAGAAACCATCAGGAATACACAAACTTTAAAAATTGACAGTAAAAATGAATAGTGTCTGAAATCAAGAATTCAGTGGATAAGTTAAAAGTGGTCTAAAACCAAAAACCAAACCCACTGTGATCGAGTCAGTTCCGACTCATAGCGACCCTATAGGACAGAGTAGAACTGCCCCATTGGGTTTCCAAGGAGCGCCTGGTGGACTCGAACTGCTGACCTTTTGGTTAGCAGCCGACCTCTTAACCACTATGCCACCAGGGTTTCCAAAAGTGGACTAGATCGACATAATTGAAGTAATTTGGTCCAACTTGAAGTGGTCCATGAATCTTAACATTATCTAGGAAGAGGATGAAGATTTTGACTAATTATGGTAGATTAAGTATGCATATTGTAATATTCTAGGACAACCAATAAATGAACAGAAATAGCCTGCATAACTTCCATACTAATAGAAAGGGAAGGCATGAAATAATTCCTTCCAAGAAATCAATTCAAAACAAGGGCAGAAAGGAGACGGAAACAGCATGAAATAATATGACAGTTTTAGATCCAAATACATAAGTAGTTATTACATTAAGTGGAAATACATCAAGTGCTCCAGAAACGATAAAGATTGTCAGACTGAATTAAAAAATAATAACAGACACTATAGCTGTGTGTGAGAGACAGCTAAAACATAAGAAGCTAAAGTTGAAAGTAAAAGAATGAAAAAGGATATTGACATGCAAATATTACCCAAAAGAAAACAGGTGTGGCTATATTACTAATGGACAAAACAGATTTTAAGGTTGTTCTAGCATTACATACTAAGATTTGACAGAATACCAATTGAGATGTTTCAACAAATGGATGCAGTGCTGGAAGCACTCACTTATCTGTGCCAAGAAATTTGGAAGACAGCTATCTGGCCAACCGACTGGAAGAGATCCATATTTATGCCTATTACAAAGAAAGGTGATCCAACAGAAGGGCTAAGGTGTGCCTGATCCAAGCCATGGTATTTTCAGTCAGTTCATATGCATGCAAAAGCTGGAGAATGAATAAAGAAGACAAAAGAAGAATTAATGCCTTTTAGTTATGGTGTTGGTGAAGAATATGAATACACCATGGACTGACAGAAGAACAAACACATCCATCTTGGAAGAAGTACAGCCAGAATGCTCCTTAGAAGCCAGGATGGCAAGACTTTGTCTCACGTGCTTTGAACATGTTATCAGGAGGGACCAGTCCCTGGAGAAGGACATTATGCTCGGTAAAGTAAAGGATCAGTGAAAAAGAGACTTTTGACGAGACGGACTGGCAGGGGCTGCAACAACGGGCTCAAGCATAACAATTGTGAGGATGGTGCAGGACCAGATAGTTTCCTTCTGTTGTATATAGGGTGGCTATGAGTCAGAACCCACTCAATGGCACCTTACAACAATACCAGGATTAAAGAAGTTTACCTCATCATAATAAAATGGTTGTTTCACTGAAGATACAATGATTTAAAATTTTTATATACCTACTAAAATTACCTCAAGAAACACAAGAAGAGTTAGCACAGCTTGACCAAGGCAAGGTCATGGAAGCTGCATAGACACATCCAAACTCCCTGAGGGACCGAATTACTGGGCTGAGTGCTGGGGACCATGTTCTTAGGGCACATCTAGCTCAATTCGCATAACATAGTTTATAAAGAAAATGTTCTACATCCTACTTTGGTGAGTAGCGTCTAGGGTCTTAAAAGCTTGTGACTGGCCATCTAAGATACTCCACTATTCCCACCCCATCAGGAGCAAGGGAGAATGAAGAAAACCAAGGACACAAGGTAAAGATTAGTCCAAAGGACTAATGGACCACAACTACCACAGCCTCAACCAGACTGAGTCCAGCATAACTAGATGGTGCCCAGCTATCAACATCAGCTGCTCTGACAGGGATCGCCAACAGAGGGTCCAGGAAAGAGCTGGAGAAAAATGTAGTACAAAATTCTAACTCACAAAACCAACCCAGACTTGGTGGTCTGAGAAAAACTGGAGAAATCCCGAGAGTGTGGCCCTGGACACAGTTTTAGCTTAGTAATGAAGTCACTCCTGAGGCTCACCCTTCAGCCAACGATTAGACAGGCCCATAAAACAAAACGAGACTAAATGGGCACACCAGCCCAGGGGCAAGGACAAGCAGGCAGGAGGGAACAGGAAAGCTGGTGACAGGGAGCCCAAGGATGAGAAGGGGAGAGTGTTGACATGTCATGGGGTTGCCAACCAATGTCGTAAAACAATATATATATTAATTGCTTAATGAGAAATTAATTTGTTCTGTAAACCTTCATCTAAAGTACAATTTAAAAAATAAAAAAGAACCACAAGAAGAAACAGACAAATCCACAATAATAGCGTGATTTTAACAAATGTCTCTTGAAATTCCCCGACATGTCTGTCAGTTTGTCATACTGTGGGGTCAGTTTGTCATACTGTGAGGGCTTGTGTGTTGCTATGATGCTGGAAGCTATGCCACCGGTATTCAGATACCAGCAGGGTCACCCATGGCAGACAGGTTCCAGCTGAGCTTCCAGACTGTCTTCCAGACTAAGACAGACTAGGAAGAAGGACCTGGCAGTCTACATCTGAAAAGAATTAGCCAGTGAAAATCTTATGAATAACAAAGAAAACAAAAATCCTCACAACTGGACCAATAAGCAACATCATGATAAATGGAGAAAAGGTTGAAGTTGTCAAGGTTTTCATTTTACTTGGATCCACAGTCAACACCCATGGAAGCAGCAGTCAAGAAATCAAAAGACCCATTGCATTGGGAAAATCTGATGCAAAAGACCTCTTTAAAGTGTTGAAAGCAAAGATGTCACCTTAAAGACTAAGATGCACCTGATCCAAGCCATGGTATTTTCAATCACATCATATGCATGCAAAAGCTGAACAATGAATAAGGAAGACTGAAGAAGAATTGACGCCTTTGAATTGTGGTGTTGGTGAAGAATATTGAATATACCATAGACTGCCAAAAGAACGAACAAATCTGTCTTGGAAGAAGTACAGTCAGAATGCGCCTTAGAAGCAAGGATGGCGAGACTACATCTTACATACTTTGGACATGTTATCAGGAAGGATCAGTCCCTGGAGAAGAACATCATGCTTGGTAAAGTAGAGGGTCAGTGAAAAAGTAGAAGACCCTCAACGAGATGGATTGACACAGTGGCTGCAACAATGGGCTCAAGCATAATAACGATTGTGGGCATGGCGCAGGACTGGGCAGTGTTTTGTTCTGTTGTACATAGGGTAGCTATGAGTTGGAACTGACTCAATAGCACCTATCAACTACCAACAATCTCTTGAAATTAATAGAATAAGCAAATAAAAACAGGATATAGATTTCAGCAATGTAATTAACAACCTTGACCTGATGGAAAATACATAGAACACTGCACTCAGCTTCTGCAGAATATGCATTCTTTTTCAAGTACTCAGAATATTTATAAAAGTGGCTCAAGCAAGTTTCGACAAACTTCAAAATATTGAAATCACATATACAGAGACTATTCTCTGGCCCCAATTCAATTAAACTGTAAATCACTGACATGAAGATAGGTGAAGATCCTCATATGTCTGGAAATTAAAACACTTCTAAATAACCCATGGGACAGATGAATCAAATGGAAACAATATTTTGAACTGAATGATAATAAAAATTCTCAATGATGAAACTGGTGAGAAGCAACTTAAGCAGTTCTTATGGAAAATTTAAAATTTTAAGTCCATATCTTAGAAAAGAATAAAGGCTGAAAATAAGGTAAGCATTTAAACGAGTTAAAGTTGGCTAGGGCTCAGTAGTTTTAGAGAGCTAAATGCATAATGTTCAACCTAATAGACATTTAATGATCCCTGGTGGCGCAGCACTTAAGCTCTTGGCTGTTTACTGAAAGATCGTCGGTTCGAACCCACCCAGCAGCTCCTCGGGAGAAAGGCCTGGCGATCTGCTCCCATTAAGATTACAACCCAGAAAACCCTATGGGGCAGTTCTGCTCTGTCACATGGGGTCTGTATGAGTTGAAATAGATTCAACAGCACTTACCACCAACAATAGACATTTATTTCTTGCTTGTTTAATCATCTTGGACAGAGGAACGGATTGGTAGCGAGTTTTGCTCCAGGAACTCAGCTGACTCATGCTCTGCTATTCTCACCATGTCAATTCTGTCTTAGTCATCCAGTGCTGCCATTACAGAAATACCACAAGTGGATGGTTTTAATGAAGAGAAGTTTATTTCCTCACAGTCAAAGTAGGCTAAAAATCCAATTTCAGGGTGTCAGCTCCAGGGGAAGGCTTTTCCTCTCTGTCAGCCTTCTCTTCGGTGTTCCCCCGGACTAGGAGCTTCTCGGCACAGGGACCCCTGTCCAAAGGATGCGCTCTGCTCCTGGCACTGC